TCGGCTGGGGCTCCTGGGCCGCGGGCCTCTGCGGGGAAGGGGCAGGCGACGCCTGGGCCGGGCTGACAGCCTCTTCTGCTTCGGAGAGCGGCTTCGGGTCCGGCTGTACGTCCACCGTCGGGGGAGCAGCTTCGACGGGCGTCTCTGCCTCTCTGGGTGCCTGCTCGGGCGGCTGGGGCCCGGCATCGCTCGGGCCGAGGGCCTCCAGAGGCTCCGGCCTCGCCGACTCTGCCTCCGTCGCCTGGGCGACTTCCTCCTCTTCTTCCTCCTCCTCCTCCTCCTCCACCCCAGCGATACTCTGCTGGTCCCCCGCCGTCAATTCAACCGCCTCGGTCTCCCCTCCTGGGGCCTCCTGGGGCTCCCCGGCGTCCACCTCCGTAGGCCCGACATCCCCGGCCTCTCCTGGCGCCGCCCCCGCCGTCTCGGCCTCGATGGCGGCCAGCAGCCGCTCCACCAGGTCGGCCTTCAGCCCTCGAGTGTCCAGGCCGCGCTGCTGCAGCTCGGTCCGTAACTCGGCCACTTTCAGCTTCTTCACGTCCAGCGCGCTCATTTCCACTTCAGTGTCTGTCCTCCCTTTTTCTGGTTAAAAAAAAAAATTATCCCGTCTCCCCCTAATTTTTAAAAAATATATTGCCCGCTATCAGATCCCGTTACAGTTTGTAAATACAGCGTCACCTGACGAAAGGAAGAAACGGGGACTGGCCAGCCTACGTGAGTTTTACCTAGCAACGACGCATGGGAACATAAATTTTCTGATTGGTAGAGGAGACCGTCACCCCGCCCACTGGCTTCAACTCTCGCAGCCGATTGGGCACTCGATGCACCGTTATGTCGCTTTTTTGGATTGGACGGTTGATTTTTAAACCCTCCTTTTAAAATCGAGTGTGGTACACTGCCCCGCGTTTTTACCTAGCAACACGAAGGGGTTAGGCCTGGGCTTTTTTTCTATTGGCTGTAAGCGGAAAGCTTCTGATTAGGAATAAAAAGAAACCCATTGGACACTGAGAAGGTTTCAGTCGAGAAACTAGGGAAGTGACGTCTGTCAAAATGGCCACTTGATCAAAACGAAGCAGGAAAACAACTGTTAGCTTCATCAACATAAACAAATTTATCATTTTATTATCTTACAAGTACGCTGCAAATACTGCGAATTGCAGTATTAAAAGCATACCAGCCACCCCAAGTGACTCTTTTCATTATGGGGTCCCCAGCATCCCTACTGGAGAGGCTCAGAGCAGTGACCCCATGCCCAGCGGAGTGACCCCTGGCCAGAGCAGTGACCCCGTGCCCAGCGGAGTGACCCCCTGGCCATGCAGGCAGCGAGGCAGCAGGGGTCGGACTGGTAGGGATCTCTCCAGCGACACCCCAAGGTCCTCTGGTGTTTAGACACCCCGAATCTCTCCCGCTGTCTGTGCTGTTGAGCAGCAAGTGTTGGGGCGCCCCCCAGGCAGAAACACAGGGGACCCCAAGGTCTCTTCACCCAGCCCGCGTGGGACGTCCCAGAAGCCAACGATCTGTATCCCTCCCCCAGGGGCACTGGGCTCCAGGTACGAGCCCCTGGCACGTCTGTACACAGTGGGGGGTGGGGGTGTGGAACAAGCTGACGGCGTCAGAAGATGGACAAGCAGACTCGCAAAATCAAAGTTAAAATTCAGCTTTATTAACTTTGTTTTAAAAAAAAACACCAACAACAACCACCACCACCACCACCACCACCACGCTTCCAGCCAGACGCGCAGGTCCTGGAAAAATAACACTCTGTGCAGGAACACGGCGCCCCACCCCGGAGGGGTCACTGCTCACCCCTGGGGTCCTCGCTCTGGAATCTGGGGTCACAGCAGCCCAGTCAGCCCCGGGCACCCTGGAGGAAGGGGGTGTCCTCAGGCGGCACTCTTCAGAGCAGGGGGGTCCCCCCAGACAGGGACTGGACCCCCTCGTGCTCCGTCCTTCCGATCGGACGTCGCTCCGACTCCTCCGGGTGCGGCCCTGGCGGAGAGCTGCGAGCCTGCCGGCGCCCCCTTGAGGAGGCGAGGAGAACTTCTCCCGGCGCTGGCGTCGCCACAGACTCTGTCATCCGGACCGCGGCAGGCGAGCTCCACCCTCCGGGGGGCGCTGTCCCAGCGGCCATGTGTGTTTCCTGCGCGGGTATGAGTGCGGTCACCCTGTGTGTGTGTGTGTGTGTTTGTGTGTGGCTCTACTACAACTGCATGATTTCTGTGTGTCAGAAGTACATGAGTGCCTGCCCTGAGGTGTCCAGTGGGGTCAGTGCTGGGGGCCACACTGCCCTGAGGTGTCCAGTGGGGTCAGTGCAGTTTATGTGCGTATGTGTTGAGGTCAGATAAAGTGCCCAGCGGGGTGTTCATGTGTGCAGGGGTGAGAGGTCATAGGTTGAGGGTCACAGCCAAGTCCCAGCAGGAGCTCCTTCTCCCTGGCCAGGCAGGGCCCTAGTACCTCCCTCCTGTGGGAGCAATACAGCCTCAGGAAAGACAGCACAGAGAGGGCCAGCCACAGCACGGACACTCCCCACAGGCCAGCCTGGGACAGAGAGAGAGGGGTTCATACAGACACTGACTGGACACTCCAGTACATTAACACTGCACTGAGAGAGAGAGGGGTTAATACAGACACACTGACTGGACACTCCAGTACATTAACACTGCACTGAGAGAGAGAGAGGGGTTCATACAGACACACTGACTGGACACTCCAGGACATGAACACTGCACTGAGAGAGAGAGAGGGGTTCATACAGACACACTGACTGGACGGTACAGGTGTCCAGTGTTACCTGTGCCCAGGTGAGCTCGCTGTAGAAGGCTGTTGTGTCCACGTCCAGGTACAGGGGGGTGGCCTGGGCCTCTGCACAGCTGGAGAGGGAGAGAGAGGTCAGCAGGAGGTCAGAGTGAGAAACAGGCTGAAACATTTCGGAAGACTGTGGGTGGATAGGGGTGGACCGGACCAAGACCTGGTGCTGTCCGGCGGGCCTGTGCAGTGCTGCTCAGGGTCCCAACTAAACTGGGAGCTGCCTCGTCCCAGGAGGTGAAAGGTTAAAGGTGAAACTTTAACCCAGACCGGTGCGCTGGGATCGGTCTCTGGGTCACCCCAACCCTTCTCTGACCCCAGTGACCCCAGTGCCCCCGCTGAGTGTCTCAGAGAATCGGTGTGTGTGTGTCAGATCAGTGTCGCTGCACCCGAGCATCGAAGCTGTGTACCTGAAGGGCGCCGCCTGCTGGCCGGTGACGGTGTCGCACCAGGACTGGAAGCCCAGGCTGAGCGTGACGCTGGAGCCCAGAGACAGAAGGAGCAGGCTGGCACTGAGCAGCAGCGTCAGAGCCGAGCACAGCGGCGTGCTGGAGAGAGAGAGAGAGAATCAGCGCTGGACCCCCGGCAGTTAAACCTCCTCTCTGCGCCTCCCGGCTCCACCCCGCCGCCCCCACTTACTCGTCGTGCCCGCGCTGCAGGTAGAAGAGGCTCCGCCAGCTCTGCACGGCCCCGAACAGCACCGTGAACACCCCCACGAAGGCGGGCAGCTGGCAGGCGGCCGGCGGCCCCCACTCCAGCACCTGCAGCCGGGGCGCCCCGAGGCCGCCCTCCGGCCGCCAGTGGCCCCGGCTGAAGAGCAGGCACCGGCCCTTGAAGTGCGAGCCGTTCAGCGCCAGCGGCACCACCGTCAGCAGGCCGCCCAGCACGGACAGGGCGTAGGCGGCGCCGTGCGCCAGGAGGAGCCGGCGCTGCGGCGCCATGGCGTGCCCGGCCCGGCTCGGCTGGCGAGGGGAACCCGGAGACGGTTCTGGAAACGCCGGGGCGGATCCCGAGCCGCGGCTGACGTCATGCGCGCTGCCGACGTGCACGGGGGGGAGGCCGAGCCTTCTGCGTTGGGGGTGCAGAGCTGCAGCGGTGTTGAGTCCCTCAGACTAGAGAGAGCGTGAAAGAACCGGGCTGGGAAGTGCGGGAGGAAGACTGTGGTGTGAAGAACAAGGCAGGGCGGCTGGGACGCACACGTTCACACATCAAGATGAAATAAAGACGCAGGCGGTTTCGAGATGGGCGCAAGTGGTGTAGAAACATCAGTAAGAAATATACAGCAGTTGTTTTTTTTTTGGAGGGGATTTCAGAAGTAGGGAAAGAAAGGAAAAATACATATTCATAAATAGGGACATGCTGTTGAGAATGGATATTCGCTTGGTGAAAGAATCATTTGAATACCGTGAACCCTCCCAGACACATTTCGGACACAAGCCCTTCAGCCTCCTTACGCGATTAATCACAATTCCGGCGCAGAAACAGTAAATGGAAACTGCCAAGTGGTTAAATCACCCCTCATTGGGAAAAAATAACTCGTCATTCCAGTGTTGTTCAGGATGTAAATAAACCCTTACCGCCACGTGACCCGGGGGTGGGGGGCTCCCTCCTTCTTTGCCCAACTTCCTGGTGGCGTCAAGGACTTCCGGGTCGCGCCGCGGTGAGGGCGGAAGCAGCCTCTCACTGGCAGACTCGCCTGGGATAAGGGGGAGCGCTCCGGCGGCGAGCTCTTGTGCTGCTCTGCTCCACAGCCGGCGAGTCCAGCGGGCGCAGCGAGGGGGTGTTCATGGCCGAAGAGGTAAAGGGCTGCGGGCAGACGAGGGAGCAGGAGTCGGGTCGGTTAACGGTAGGACTGAGGGGGTGGGCACAGGTGAAAGTCGCTCGTGAGCCGAGACTCGCACCGTCGGCCCGTGGGATACTTGCTGTGGGACAGTCCCGTGCGACTCCCGACCCGCCTGCAGTGCAGGAATTCTCCTCCTCTGCTCCTCCAGCGGGAGACAGACTCGGGGCTCAGTCCGGCTGGGCAGCTGGGAGATGCCAGTTAACCCAGTTGGTATATCTTTGCACAGTGGGGGGAACTGCAGCACCTGAGCAGAGGAGAGATGAAATGTGTTTTGGCACAGAACTTTAAACCCATGCTGAAAAGAGAAGAAAGGAAACGCAACGTTTCAGCAGTGGAGCCTTCTTGGGGTGTGAACACGGGCTCGACAGCCAAAACGTTGTCTCCTTTCTTCTCTTTTCAGCAGGGAATCAACCTTTACTTCTTTTTAAATGTTTTTATTTAAACACCAGAAATACAAAAAAGGAGACGGAGTATTGAAATAGATACAGAAATCAACCTTTACCTGTACCTCTGCAGCCTGCGCACGCCTGAATCCGCTGTTTGTATTTCACCCAGGGTGCAGCTGGATGGGGGGCGGAGCTTGGCCCCGAGGGGGCGGGGTCTGAGCGGGGCCCGGGGGAGGGGCCAGCGGGGTGTTCCAGGGGAGGGGCGGGGCCGGGCGCCCCGGAGGCGGAGGCGCAGCTGCAGGAGGCGGTCCTTCGGAAGGCGCAGGGGAACGAGCTGTACCGGGACCGGCGGTACCGGGCGGCGATCGGGAAGTACCACCGGGCCCTGCTGCTGCTGCGCGGGCTGGACCCCGAGGTGACGGCGCCCATGAGGAGCTTCGTGGCGCAGAGGGCGGTGCTCAGTGCCCAGCAGGAGGCGCTGCTGAGGAGCACGCAGGTGGACTGCTACAACAACCTGGCAGGTAAAGGCCTGTCTGCCCCGCCCCCAGGCATGGGCCTCCTCGCCCCCTGGGAGACGAGGGAGCTCTGCATCTGGTCTGACACTTCCCCCGGCTGAGTAATCGACACTGGTTCTCCCTCTGTCCCCTCCCTCACTCTCCTGCTCCTCTCTCTCCTCCTCTCCCCCTTTCTCATGCTCTCTTCTCCCCCCCCCTTCCTCTGCCTCTCCTCTTCCTCTCTTACTCGTCACTCCTCTCCTCCATCCTCCTCTCCTCTCCCCTCTCTCCCTCTTCCTCCTCCATCCTCCTCTCCTCTCCCTCTATTCCCTCTCCCCTCTCTCCCTCTTCCTCCTCCATCCTCTCTTACTCGTCCCTCCTCTCCTCTCCCTCTATTCTCTCTCCATCTCCTCCATCCTCCTCTCCTCTCCCTCTATTCTCTCTCCATCTCCTCCATCCTCCTCCCCTCTCCCCTCTATTCCCTCTTCCTCCTCCATCCTCCTCTCCTCTCCCTCTATTCCCTCTCCCCTCTCTCCCTCTTCCTCCTCCATCCTCTTACTCGTCCCTCCTCTCCTCTCCCTCTATTCTCTCTGCCTCTCCTCCATCCTCCTCTCCTCTCCCTCTATTCTCTCTGCCTCTCCTCCATCCTCCTCTCCTCTCCTCTCCCTCTATTCTCTCTGCCTCTCCTCCATCCTCCTCTCCCCTCTCCCCTCTCTCCCTCTTCCTCCTCC